CCTTATCCACGAGGCTTTGCTCGTTCTTGGATACTAGCTTGTAGTTGATTGGCGCTGAGGCTGGTACTGCTTTGCTGGGCATTACGACCAGCGATGCACCCGATGTAGAACGCGGTTTAGACTTGTGTACGCGACGCACTTCATCTTCATCATAACCGTCGGTGCTGTCCTCATCGTCGTAAGGGCGATTACGCAGCAGCGCTGAAGCATCGCCGCGGCCATTGCGACACTTTGCCGAAGCTAATATGTTCTTGCGATTCGTGGCTGAATCACTGGAACCGGACTTGAGCACGCGACGCGACAGATCAACTGTGGGAGTGCTGCCCACCGATGAGCAGCTAGCCTGCGAACCCGAGCCAGATGTGAGCGTGGAAGTCGTTGAACTGGCTATAGATGTGTTCGTTTCCGACGAGAGCGTGCGTGTAAGCGCAAACTTCTCAGGTACCTGCGGCACGCAGGGAGACATAGGTGGCGAGGACACTTTCGAGGAGAAAACAGAATCCGAGTCGCTCTCTTCGTGCATAGCGTGTTGGCGCGGTGGCACGCTGAGTGAGGTGCGTGGCGGTTTGGCAGGCGGTGTGCTATTTAGCACTGGCTCAAAGCGGCGTGGCTGGTGTGGCATGGCGAGTGGGGACTGCACCGTTGTGGCATGCCGCGGTGCGGCAGTTTGTGCGGAAAAAATGCTACGGTAGCTATTATTGGCAGACATGTTGGTCGAGTTGCTTGTAGTAGCTACGGTGAGTGGACGCAGCGGTGAGTTGTGCATTATATCAGTGCGTTTGGCGGGACGAGGCACGGTGGAAAAGTAGCCACTACTAGAGCCAACGCCGCTGTCCGTCGAATCTGTGGACGACGTATTGCCTGACTTCAACTTTTCACTATCACGACTTTTGATCTCCGGGAGATCGAGTATGGGTTCAAGCGGCACATGCGGACGCTCTGGTATAACCAATCCACGCAGTTTGGACATGCTGCGGCGTCGTTGCTCCAGTATATTTGTTATGGCCGCCTTGCGCGATGCCTCGTCTGGCATGTAGTTTGGCTGTCCCGAAAAGCTAATGCGGCGCTCCAAGTGTTGCATGTGGCGCCGCGGCAATGACGCATAGCTCTGTGTGTAGTCTGTAGCCAGCGTATTCAGCGCGTACATGGAATCTGAAAAGTTTTGCGTAGGTAACTGTTTAGCCAGCTGCACTTGACGTGCCACATCGTTGAGATTCTCCACGCTCATAGCACGGGTCTTCGTCAGATTGGAGGCTGTTGTGACATAGCGCGCGCTCGTTGCTGTATCAAGCAAATTCTCAGTGCTCAGATTGAGTGGTTTGGTAGCGCTCTGCGTGCGCGAAAAACTCAGAGGTTTCACTGGTGTCTCCGCACCACTGCTCTCGGCGTCGTTTGAGAACATAGCGATCTTATCGCGCACGCTCTTCTCCGATTTCTCATCCTTTCCCAGTCGCTGTGCCGACGTGGTGCACTCAACGAACGCTTGTAGTCGCTGCCGGTGCCTGTGCCAGTACCACCCACTTCAAACGAGGGTGGTTCCAGTTTGTTGGCTGTTGGTGTGCTACTACCGCTCGACGAAGATTCTGTGTCGAACGGCTGTGACGTGACTCGAATACTAATTTGCCACTACCAGCACCCGAAGGGGTAGTGGCTTCAGCAAGCACATCCGTGCGTTTATCGGACGCATGACGCGCATCCTCCACCTTTACTACGAGATCCTGGCGGTATGTCTTGCGCGGCACAGTTGGTGGTGGACCAGATTTGGGTAGCGGTGGTGGTACAGTTGCTTCTGTGCTATCACCTACTTTACTAGTCACTGCTGTTGCTACTGATGGTAAATTCCAGTATGGGCACATCCACCTTACTGCTGTCGATATTCAGTGTACCGTTTGCCGGTGAGGATGACGTGACAGTCGTTGCCCCGGCTGTTGTGTTGTTAGCGCCATTGCTACTAATGTGTTTATGTGTTGTGCGTGTACTAGCTACCAGAGTTTGGCCACCACTGGCGCTAGCTGTCGTAAAGAGTTTTTCTGTGTACACGGTATTTGTGTTTGTGTTGTTGCCCTTTGTGCTGGACATCGTCATGGTGGTGGTGGTGGACTGCATTAGGCTTGCAGCCTTCAATAGATTTGTGCTGGGCGGGGGCATTATTAGTGGTTCACTGAAATTGGGCGGAAACTCATGGCCGTCGGGTGGCAGGCGTGAATATGTGGGTGGTGAGCTGAGTGTGAGATAGTCGCTGACGAGTAACGGTGTTTGCGGCACCACCTGTATGCCGTTCTCCATTTTGTCTTTGCTACTCAAGTGAGTTTGGTCAAGATCTGTGCGGGTTGATGGGCGGAGGGGAAGAAACAGAAAAAGGAAAACAAATATGTTGTTAGTCACGAGCAAACGATGGAATACATAAAATAGGATTTTACAAGTAACATGCGTAACTAAACAAATTAGATACTAGTAATTATTAAGGGCTTTTTAATAAAAAATATCGTTCATCAAAAAAAAAAAAAATTGAGGGCATTACCACAAATAGGTTTTAAATTAAAACTTTTTTCAAATTCATTTTGCGTAATAAAATTTTTTTTAAAATTTTGTTTCCTTTTTAAAAAATGTTTTTTTTCTTTCTGTCATTCCTAACAGTTGATAAATTTTAAACGATCTTCAAAAGCTATTTCTAATTTTTGGCCAGCTAAGGGCCTTAATATATTGAAAACAAAAGCTCTTTAAGAGCTCAAATTTTGTTCGTAATTACCGGACTTAAGGCTAGTTTAGATACATACATGCATGCATATGTGTATTTAATGTGTATAGTATACAAAAAATTGGAAAATATTTAAAAATGCATGCATATGAGGGTGGTCCAAAAATGCACGTGGAAAAAATAAGGTTGGAATTTGAATGTCTCACCCCTTAGGATTGTTCTAAATCGTAAGAAAATATACCCTTGTTTTTTATTTCGAAATCAAAAAATATTTAGAGGTCGCTCAAACCGCTCAAAATTTTCCATGCATTTTTGTATAATTCTGAAATGCAATATTTTTGGATCGGAGAACTTTCTCTCTTACGAGACTTCCAGTAATAATGCCCAGTGGTTTATTTTACCATTTGTTAATGCTAGCGATTTTTTATGAGTCCCCCGTTGCATTTTTTGGGGTTTTTAGGGGACCTACAAAACATGGTTAATATTAAAAAAGGATTAAATAAACCATTGGGTATTTTTATTGAAAGTCCCCTGAAGAGAAAAAAGCTTTCCGATCGAAAAACAAATTCTATACCATTTTTATGAAAAATTTTTAGTTTTTTTCATATAAAATACATGGAAACTTTGAGTGCTTTGAGTTACCCATAAATATTTTTTGATTTCAAAAACAGAGGGGTGAGAGCATTAAAATTCCGACTTTACTTATTTTAGACCAACCCTAATCCACATACATACATGTATGTACATACGTGAGGAGGCCTTAGATTTCACTGGGGGAGGTCATCACTAGTCGCAAAGATCTATAAAAAAGTGTAATTTCTACGCCTCTGAAAGTAGGAGTGCACTGCGGCTAAGTACCGGCTTACTCCCAACACTGAGTTCGAGCTTACACATTGTAGGATCTTTACTGATTGATTCAACGCTGATACAGAGTCAGACACTAGAGTTTACATCGCAGATAATGCGGATAAGCTTAACTTTTATCTTGGGGAATTTGTCTCCAAGAAGAGATATATGCAATCCACAAGGCCATGAACTTCGTCTTAGAAAATAGGACTTTACGCGTCTGCAGTGACAACAAAGCTGAACTCAAGGCATTGGCCAGTCCCCAAACTATAGCCAAACTAGTTCGGCAATCCAAGTCGTTGCTGGGTGCAGGTTACTTAGGGAGTAACTGGTAATAAGACATCGGACCATTTGGCTAGAGGGGGCTAGGATCAAGGTTTCTTTGGTCTGCGTACAACGAAGCCACCATCAGAAATCAGAATGAATTTTTTGCACAGCAATGGCGGACTGGACAGCCTGGAGGGGCTTCAATTGTGGAAAATATCATGTTCGTTTCAATTTCAGAGGCGTATTTTTGCTGGGTATTTGCAGCTGGGACTGCAAACAAGTTGTGGGATTGCAGCCTGGTTAATTATTTCTCGTTGCGCAAACACTCGACTGCTATTCACATTCATGATAATGATAACTACTTTTCACCCTGCTGCTTTGAGCAGACGACTGAACAAATTTGGTAACTCTGCCGTCTTTGCCTTTGCAGGGCTTTGTTATGAAGCTTTCGGCAGTAAACTGTTGAGAGACGAGAAACTGAACACCTTGATGCTCAACAATCTGCCTCTAGTTATTCGTAAATCGTGTAGCTTTGAAACAGATCAAAAGGAATATGAGGCAAAAATTGTTAAAATAAGCTAAAAAGTTGAGTTACATATATTTAAAATATTAATTTGTAATTCTTGTGTACTAAAACGATTTGTTGGTGTAATGAAAACAATACTTCAATGAAAACACAGAAGGATGCCAAGCGATAATTGTTTTTTTTTAGGATGTCTTTTGGCCTTAAAAATATGTACATACATATGTAATTATAAGGAAACATTTTTGGTTATACACCTTCGAAGCCATTTTTTGTAATCACAAATAATATGAACGACAAAAATAATCTGTGTCAAAGGCAAAACAATACGCCATGGTTGCATAATTATGTAGGTATGAATGTGCATTGAGTTAGGAAAAAAAAGACAAAAGAAATAAATATTATTGTTATTAATAGTTCCTCTTTCAGTTTTGAAAAACGAGACTATTCAATTCTTATAGTCCACATATGAAAGGCTATACGTACAACAAATGCATGTGGACATACAATATATACATATGTAGTATGTAATACGTAATACGTAGCGGTCACAATCATTTGTTTATACATTGGTTATTAATATTTATGCGACACATATGTACATATGACAAAAAAATATGCAAATATGTGCCGTTACAATTGCAACAAAAGTCAACAATTTTGTAGTACAGCATGGTCGCGAAATCTTACGCAATTGCTGCAAAAGTGTCACCCATAAACAAATCAAGGTGCATAAATCAAGAAAAATAAAAAAATAATAAAGCGATAAATCGCATAAGATATGTATCAAGAACGAAAATTTGTAAACAGGGATACTGTAAAACAAAATACAATAAAATTAAAAGAAGCAAAAATTTTTTTTTTAAATTTCTAAAAAAAATGTATCAATAAAAAAATTTATATTTAGAAAATGAAAAAAATTTTAGTTTTTAATGGCTAAGCAGTTTCTTTTCAATAAAAAAAAAATAAAATTTAGGTTTTGTTCGCGGCTGCCATAATCTAGCGTTGGAAGCAGGCACACAAAGGCAGCTATGGTAAATTACTCGAGATATCGGAGTAAAAGAGAAATTTCTCCCGAAACTTTAAATATTTAAGTATTTAGTATGAAATACTTTGCAAGTTGGCCAGTCCGATGCGCTGAAGGAAATCTTCTAAATATTTTTTCAGTGTAAGAAAAATATGTTACGTATTCAGGTAGCTGTGAGTACTTTTCATAAAACCGTACATAATTATCAGCCCTTTTGTAAAAATATGTCTTGTGAGCCTTGTACCCTGGATATTTTTTTATTAGGCTCCTACATATACATATTTACATATATTTCTACATTTATGTGAAAATGGTTCATCTCCGAAAGTTTATAGAGAAGCACTGTAAGGCGGAAATGCAACTAAAGTTAAAATATACCCGAGAGATTTTTATACACTTTTTCAAGAAAATAACGAACTCGGAAAAATCTTTACAGCTCAGAAATTGTTTGAAAAAATTTGGTTTGGAAAGCTTTTTCTAAAGAAGGTAATATAAACTTTGTTTTAGATAAAGCACTAGGTATGGGTTTAATGCAAGTGTATGGTGTGATTTTAACTCAAAGTAATCATAACTTTTTTGGGATTTTTCTCAATATATTTAGTTCACGGAGTCAATGGCATTTTTGAACCACCCTACTGTATACCCATTCTGTTGGCGTACGTTTCCATCAAACAGTGGTCTGAATAAAACTGATTACNAGATCTGTACATAGTTACACAGGAAGGTCAATAGAAAAGGACATCAACCATCTGGAAGCCCCCAGAAATTCAACCATCGAAAACTGTGCTTGAGTGAGAGCTCTTATGAATATAACTACCCCACTTCCTGCCTTAAGGATCAATTTGAAAACTTCCGTGTATGTGGCCACATAAACAAAATACAGGTTCCAGGTTCTCAGCTCAATTCGGTTGCACTTTGGTTAGCATATTCTTTATTGTAGACTTATCCATCCAGGGATAATCACCAGGCTCGAACAATGTAGCAGTAGTATTAGATAATTTTATTAAAAAAATTGTCCTGCTTTTACCGTAATTAATATATAGCAATGGCCAGTCATTTCGCAAATCACCAAAAATTAGAATGGCAGCTTTACTTATTCAAATGAGAGTGATGGCGAAAAAAAATCACTAAAAAATAGAATTACCAAATAGAATGGCTTAATATCACACATAATGCATAATTTGTCTTTTAAACAAGTTTCCTTATATGAATGCTGAATGTTTTATTTTATTTGATGCTTTTTTCACTAGTTATGCATATGGTTTGATTACGTGACTTTTTAAAATCTTGATTAAGAATTTGGTGATAAATTACTGCACACACTCGATATGACAATTATTTATGAATATGAATATGCGAGGGAACAAATGGCATAAGTAAATATTCGTACATACATAGCAATGATCTGTGGTCATAAGCAATAATCGCCTAAGTCGAAAAACCTGAAGTCGAGAAAAAAAGCTTTCAAGATTTGGATTGTAATGTTAACCTTATGAGGAAACCAAACTTTTTAAATAGCCCAGCTAACGAGATGGGAGTTTCACATATACATGGAATAGTAGTTGCAGAAAACGATAGCATATATAATTCAATTCTTTCTTAAGTCGATTTAGGCGGTTATTGCTTAAGACCACAGATGTACTATAGCTGAATCGGAAATTTATAAAGGTTATCCGGCTGATTATAAAATTTATATAAGGCAATAAATTAAAGAGTCTTTAGTTTGTAAGAGGAAGAAATTTGTACTAAAAATAATAATAATATTTTGGCGTTTATACCTTTGCCGATTACACCGATTTACAGTTTTACGCCGAATTCGAACGGCAAATTGATTTTATGAGAAGCTTTTCCATGGCAGAAATACACTGGGAGGTTTGCCGTCGCCTGCCGAGGAGCGACCGCTGTGAACCTTGTTTTCTAATTTAGACGTTGCTCGGACCCGGATCGAACCCAGGTCCTG